ATCAATTTTGTTTAAACTGAGGTGTGTGGATTCCCCTTCTTTGGGGCAGATTAGTGGGGCCCATTAGGGGAAATAGAGGAAAACATTAAAGATCCTTCTCCTTCTGTACCGTTGAAGGGATTTTAACCTAACCAAACTTGTTTTAGAGAATCTTTGGGCAAAGGGAATTGAATATTTATAAATGGAAGATGCAACTTTGTTACTTGTACTCCTTTGTTAAACCTGAATGGTACTCAGCAGGTTTTAAATTGAAAAATAAAATACCAGGTGAGCTATTAAGGTCCCTGGGCCTCTTGTTTGTCAATTTGAATAATATTTCTGTTCATGTAAAAAACAAAATCAACTCTCTTTATAAATATATCAGGTGACCGTTAAGGCCCATTGGCCTCTTGTTTAACCTGGGAGCAAAACCCATTCTTGACAGTCTAACGGTTACTAATACTGTATAACATGGATTGTAAAATTGAACATAGTGTAAGTATACCCCACGCAACGAGGTTAGGGGGAATATACTGGAATCAGCTTGTTTGTCCGTAGAAAAAGTTTGTCCGGACAACTTCTTAAGTACATGTAATGCACCAATTTCAACGAAACTTTCCAGATACGTTAACTACCATCTGAAGGTGTGCATGGAGATATATATTTTGTCTGTCCTATTCACCCATGATAATACCCCCTCAAAAATCAATGTAAACAACACATATATGCCGGTAGCCTGTTCTTACACGATATAATCGGTACGTGATATGGGCGCGTTCGTGTGAAACTACCATTCACCCTTCCTCGTTTAATAATCCGCTGCACCCTGTATTCAGCCTTCTGCATCTTCTTCTCATCGTCTGAATTCTCGGCAATATGGTTAGTTTCATATTCTGTTGCTGTTCTCCAGCCCAACTCTGAACCATCCGCTAGCTTTATTAACTTTTGACGATACTCTATTAAACACACCCTTTCCGCTCTCTTCTCCTGTGCATTCATAGCCGCCGGGTATCCTCATCCCTCAGAAAACTCTCCGCCTCCTTGATCTTCTGTTACACTTAAACATTGACCTTGTGTTGCTCTTCGTTTCCCTTCTTTGTGAATGTGTACGCACTGTCACTAATGCTCTCTATTCTCGCTATCTGCGACTCACTTTGCTGCCGTTGGTTCTCTTTTCCCTGGTCCTGGAATTGGTTGAGCTTTGCCGAAGGTAAATGCTCCATTTGTGTGAATAAAGAACCTTGACTCTCTTTCACTTCGTTCCTCACAAATCGGGCAATGTCTTTTTTCTGCTGCTCTTTCTTAAATCGACCGTATTATTAGGCGTCTCAGGCTAGAATGCCTTCCGTCCTATTCGAACCAACCACGTTACATCCGCTCTGCCACACGTAAATCTCGTGCACCCTATTCTTCACATACCGATTCAATTACTATGCATTTCCACTTTCGCCTGTATAATTCGCTATGTATATTCATTATTCTCAAGCCTCACGCCTGTCCGACACCTATAGCTATTAGGAAATGAAACATACAAACAATTATTAACTGCAATACTACAGTTGTGGGATCGCACAACGTTACACGATGTGTGCACGAAGTGCGAACGATAAAAAATTGGACGATCATTGCTTGCGCACATTTGTGCAGACGATCGACGTGCGATAACAATCGTGGTTGTTGTAAATTTAGGAATGGCTTAACAATAAATACGGTTTCGTGTTTAAACTTGATTTTTTGGTTTGAGCTTATCTTTTAAGCAAAACTGTTTCATCTGGGCTACCAAGATTTGGTTTGCATGAGTGTTTTTTTATTGGTTACCTTCATTGTATACACTTACTTAAGTATATAGACTATATACTTAAATAAGTGTACAAAAAGTAGCTCAGTCAATAAAGAAATCATTACTGGTGGGAGAATATGGATTTGCAATGCTTTGCCTCAGTTATGTAGAGACAGTTCTGGTCTATATAGGAGCAGGACTATTAGTTACCCTTTGGCTTACAGTTCTAGTTTTAATTATTTATTTTACTATATGCACTATACGTATATTGGATATGAGCTGTGCGGATTTTTTTTTTCATTCCGTAATATTCATCAACCAATTGTATCAAACCGCACATTTGTGCAGAGATAGGTTTGCAATTGTTAAATCGCCCAGTTGTGCGCAATATATGCGGAGTGTGTGCGGGATATTTGAAAACTGGGTGCGTTCGATTACACAATTAATACACATCGCACATGAACCGTCGAACAGCCCTTATATGGTTATCACGTGACCAGTTAAGTATTCCGGTAGCAACAATTCATCTGTTAAAGTTTAATAAAACCGTCAACTTGTTTAATATGCAGGTAGGGCGTGATAATTGTACCTGCTGCCCCCAATTGCATGATCGTAAGAGGCGATTAAATTTGGGACCTTATCTCCTTTCTAAATAACTTTCTTCTTCCTAATGTCTCCCTTGACAATGCCTCACTTCTGGCCATTTGTTGAGCGTTCGCCCCTGTGAGGAAGGCTTTGAGTTCTGTCCCCTGGCCGAGACATACCAAAGTCTTTAAAAATGGTAGTTTCTTCCCCCTGCTTAACGCTCAGCAAATTAGGAGTGGGACGACTGGTCCGCCCGTTGTCAGAATAATGTGACCAGGTGGGGCGTCCTGCTGGGTGTCTTTGGCAGAATGTTTCAGTGAGTTAGCACTATAAAGTCGGTATCAGTTCCGCGCTATCACAAGGAGACAAACACGAACATAATTATCGCAGCCTCCCAAAATACAAACACATACACTACACGCATGCATCTTGCACACAGGGGAGGCCGTCCTTAAATGACCTTAGCTGTTAATAGGACGTTAAACAAAATCAAACAAACAAACAAAATGTTTAATATGCAATTACCTAGAGAGTCGGTAACACATAATTATACATGAAGTTGAAATATATAAAGTGACGAATGTATAGATTATAATCATTTCGCATGATAGCCATACCGTATATTACTGATCGCAAAAGCAGGGCTTCAACAAGCAAAGATCTGCAATACGATTTCTTCAAATCAAATGGCATTAATCTGATGTTTATGACCTGATGTAATTTTCTTTATTTACATAAGAAAAAACGTTTATTCAGTTCTGTATAAATATTTGATTTGATTCAAAGATTGGTGAAACAATTTGTAGTTCGAAGGATTGCAATATAGTCGACGTAGCATATGCTGCGGGTTAGGTCTCCTCATTGTTTACCCCTACGGGATCGATAAAAGAATATGCATGATGTTGTCAAATGCATTTAATGTGTAATCCCCTGCAGAATTGGGAATTTGCTTGTTTAACTGTCCCTGCAGGTAGGGCGTAAGAATTGTACCTACTGCCGCAATTGCATGATTGTAAGAGGCGACTAAATTTGGGATCTTATCTTTTTTCTTCTTTCTAAACTTCTTTTCTTCTTCCTAATGTCTCCCTTGACAATGCCTCACGTTTGACCTTTAGTTGAGCGTTCGCCCCAGTGAGGAAGGCTTAAGGTTCTGTCCCCTGGCCAAGAAATACCAGAGTCTGTAAAAATGGTAGTTTCATCTCCTGCTTTACGCTCAGCAATTTGGGAGTGGGACGACGAGTTCGCCCGTTGTCAGTATAATGTGACCGGGTGGGGTCCTGCCGGGTGTCCTCGGCAGTATGTGTCAGTTGGGTAGCACTACAAATTCGGCATCAGTTCCGCGCTATCACAAGGAGACAAACGTTCATAGCGCAGCCTCCCAGAACACACACGCATACACTACATGCATGCATCTTGCACACAGAGGAGGCCATCCTTAAATGAACATAGCTGTTGATAAGACGTTAAACAATATTAAACCAAACTTAACCAAACCAAACTTGTTTAACTTTCTAAGGGGGCACATAAGCGATCAAAATAAATCTCCTGTCACCTTTACAACGTTTTGGATCTTTATATTTTCTGTCTACTTCTTTTCAACCTTTTTGTGTCCTAGCTTATGGCCAGGACACATTACCTTCGTCACTGGTGGAACGTTCATCATGTAAGCCAAAAATGAGGTATTGCCAAGAAAAAAAGCGCTACAGGAAACAAAAGGCAGTTAGATGTAAGAGAACTTTGGGCTGCTTTTGTGTCCCCAAGTAAAGACCACAGCAAATCCCCAATTCTGCAGTAGTCTATACAGAAGTCGCCTCTCCGTGACAGACCGTTTTTTAACATTTAAAGAGTACAACGGACCACCTGGTTAAACTTGAAACTCGCATTCGTGATAATTTTTCCAACAAAAAAAAGCATTTATTTGCTGTCTTTTGTTTTAACTAGAGAAAACATATTATTCCACATGTTAGTACGGTATCATGACAGATCTTTACAATAGGGAAATATACCCAATTTTGTAGAGAATTTCATTTTTTCAAATTAGCATTTCAGATACCAGCTCAGCAAATAAGGAGTTGGACGACTGGTTCGCCCGTTGTCAGTATAATGTGACCGGGTGGGGCATCCTGCTGGGTGTCTTCGGCAGTGTGTTTCAGTGAGGTAGCACTATAAAGTCGGCATCAGTTCCGCGCTATTACAAGAAGATAAACACGAATATATCGCAGCATCCCAAAATACACACACATACACTACACGCATGCATCTTGCACACAGGGGAGGCCGTCCTTAAATGACCTTAGCTGTTAATAGGACGTTAAACAAAATCAAACAAACAAACAAACAAAGATACCAGTTTTTCCGACATTACTAAGCAGGAAGTATACCATCAGTCACACATTTTGGCTTAAAAATCAATAGCATAGTAAAATGACGTGGGTCGTCCACTAAAGAGTCTCATTTTTTTGTGTCGCCTTCAACGCGAGGCGACATATATACATTTGTCGGTATTACTTTGTCGGCGTCGTCCGAAACAAGGTTTCCGTGCGACAACTTGGGTTCCATGTGGTTGATTGCATTAAAACTTGGTACACATATTGCATTCCATTATAGCTCGAAAAGTTCGTATTTCAGAAGTTTATGTGCAGTTATGCCCCTTTTATTGCCAAATATCTTTTTTTATTTTTTAATCAAATCCTTTCACATTTTGTACGGTAATGCTAGAAGCAATAATGTTCAACATATATTACGGGTTTTTCTGTCGAGTTACAACTTGTCTTACTAACAGCGCTGAGCAGGCGACACATCCACTCCCGTTGAATTCTTGTTGTTTCAATTATTCCAGTTGTCCAAAAAAACTAAATTTACTTATATTCGATTCAACATTATCCGTTTTACCCCTTAATAAATATTTAAAAGATAAATGCTTCAAAGCTCTCGGTGAACGGGGAGGAAAATTTTCTCTAAAATGTCTTCTAGTGCCTTTGAGTTTAATGAACTCTTTTTTTTTGGTGAACGTCTTATTTTTGTGTCGTTTGCCCCTTAGTGACACGAATTGTCGATTGGCCATAAACAATACAAAAATAAAGTTTACAAAATATCACATCCATGTCCCTCATTTTTGTACATACCAAGTCATACTACAATGTATCAGAATTTATAACGTACAGTATGCCATGAAGGGCTGATGTTATCATTAGACGCATCAGACTGTCAATGGCCAGTATTAAGTCCTGCTCCTCCTGTATGTTATCACGGCCAATCTCCATTACTTGTACTCCGCGAGGAATACGTGTTCCTAAACAATGTTTATCAGTCCGAGTGGGTCGTCAAATCAATCTCCTGGAACTCCTACGTGAGCATCGTGATCAATAGGAGACACGAGACTATTATTTTGTCCTTGCTTTTGCCCAAAGATATATATTAGGGATGGTGCACATATGGGCCCTTCATTAATAGCTAAATACATTGTCCCCAGATGACCCTAACTGTAACGAGTAACCAAAACCTTATCAAGCATACGATCAAACATTTCGAGGTTGTGATATTTTAGTTAGGTGGTATTTTCCTTAAAATGTCTCTCAGTGGTCTTGAAAAGCAAATCAAACATTTTGGAAGTAAAAATTATCATGAATTTCAGTATTATTAAATAGAGGTTTGCAGTATTGCTACCAGCAAAATGTACTCTTGTATGGCTCATCGTCGTTTAAAGTCAGTAGGGTCATATAAGTATTGTAAAAAAGACAATTACCGTAAAAACCCACATCAAACAGTAACTTGTAGACTTAAAGGTAACTATCAGACGGATAATGTGTTTTAATCCCAATGTTTTAAAGCATGGTAACCCACGCTCTTGTATGCCCCTATTGACGTGGAGGAGACAATCTATGGTTATCTGTTCGGTATCGTCACGTGTAATGCCACACTTTCCTGCGGTTATAT